TATGTTGTATCAAAAGAAAGATCAAAAGTGCTCGCGTAAGCGTATGCGGTCTCCAGTAGGGTCGCCATCTTGCCATTTTGCGATTTTAACCCTTTGACTGCAAATTTAAGAATAAAGAATACTTAGAAAATCGACCAACATTAAATTATAGGTTTACTGATGGTTCTTCAATTTTTTCTTGAATATGGTGTACGATTCGCTTTTAGATAAACAAATAGCCTATGTTATGTAATTGTTTTTTATTGTGTTTACTTATACCATCTGCATTGTTAAGCAGATGGTATAAGTTTTATTATCTTATATTATAAAATTAGTTGGCAGGCTTCTGCTTCTAAAATGGTTTTATCAGCATCTACTTCAAGTTATACTTTAAATGATGTACTTATTTCGTCGGCTTCACGTCATTAAAATGATATTATGGTCGTGGCGGTCTTGAAAGCCACCGAACTAAATATGAAAATTTATTTTCGCAATGAAATCTCATTTCGGTATTTAATTCACATCTCTCAGTATCCGAGAGTCAATTTCGCACCCTTCTGACTGTAACATATATAAAGTCAAAGTCCTGCGAAAATAGGTGGATGGGGAATCCTGACACAAGGGTGGTCCACAAGGGATTTTTATCGTTCCACTTTCTGCCGACGATAATGCCGATCTAACGCCGCCGCGTCGCGCCGGAAATATTGTAATGTTGCATGAATACGAAATTCATAACACAACTCGGGACCGCACATTTTGCTTTATATTGGGTGTAAAATCCCAGTAGAATGGCACATTGTGTTGACACATTTTAGTTGGTTCCTAAGCGTATTTCGCTTAGTCTCAAGTAAAAGAAATTATATTTAAATCTAGATAGATATAAATCTATGTCGTAGAATATATCAAGATTGAAAAAAAAGTATCAGCTATTTTAGCGGAAAGCGGCTAAAATTCGTTTCTATTTGTTTGTTATCCAGACAAGAGCCTTTGAAAGTGTCCATCTATTTTGTCAGGGGAATTTGACCGAAGAAAATAAAGGCATCGAGTGTTAGAAGCTCGTGGGGTGCAGGAGAGAGGGTAGAATAGTCAGCCGTATTGTCTAAATTGTTTGGGGCGTTAATAATTCGTCACACGCCTCAGTTCCTCGCCAACAGTTATTTTTCGTGCGGAACAATTTTATTATAAAACGTGAAGGTGTAATTTGTGAGCACATCACTACGCTAAGTGGATCCACCATTAGAAATTTAAAAATACAGAAACTTCGTTTATCTTTCTTCATTCAGGTTTAAGTCGTTCTCCTCAATTTTGTTACAGCTGTACATAATTGTTTACGATTACAATATTATAAAGCACTCTAAAGAAGTCATAAATGCGATAAGTATCAGAATTGCTTTGTTCATTGGAATGCTTATCCCACGTTCGTATATATAATCTGGCAATATATTTAACCAAATCGCTATTCATGCATATTTAAGAAGTGTTATCATACACTGAGAAAATTAAAAAATATAAAAGTATATGAATCATATTAGCATTATCAATAAATCAACTCTTTTGAAGCGATGTAAACTTTTAACTTAGTGGATCAACGAATTCATATTAAGATCACAATTAATTGATTTCCTGAGTTTAGCCGCTTCAGCCTATACATAAAGTCGTGTTTATGAATTTATGCAACAATCGTATCGGAATTGGGGGATGGGATGTATGAGCGATAACACAGAATTGACACGGCACCATCAATCACTTTGCGAGTGGGCCGATCTATCGAGTGTCCCGTTGCATGCAGTTGTGGTTATCGGCTACAAATTGCTGTCGCTCTGATGATTAACAATATGCTTCACGCACGGGTAGCACGACTAAAATAAAACTAACACTATGAACAGTGCGCGTTCAAATAGAATTCATACAGCCAGCTTGAATAAACAATCTCACGTTGCGATGAATAACATCGACATAACTCGTACGGAGCAGAAATATAATACCTTGACGTCGGCGTAGGTAACAATAGTTAAAGACCTTTCAAAACAGTTATTCCTGTGTATTCTATAAATGATCAGTAATCTGAAATCATTGTTCAATCTCGTACTTTTGTATGACTACTGCTTACACCAACGAATTGCCAAACTCTCAAACAACAAAACAGCAATAAGTCAAACGCCAGCATAAAACTCGTTTGATTAATTATAGGAAATGTTGTTGATTGTCATTAGTCAATCAGTGATACTGTTCCTGTGAATTTCACAGAGTACCGATTTGTCTTCATTTTGTTTATTGCTTCATTGCTGGTGTTATTATTATCAGCGTTAGTTATGCTACTTTACGGTTTTCTATATCGAATCATCGATATGTAGGTACATAAACATCAAGTTTCATTTATGTCCGCAAAGCAGTGAACTATCAAATATTGAATTCTTCGATACGCTTCGTAAATTGTAATATGTATGTATTTCGCAGATGTTTTACAATACCTACTAGATACGTTTCGTGTTTCGTGATATGCGGATTATGCGGATAGATCGGTTAGATTGGTGGTTTTCCTTTTTCATACATACTTTATACATTTTTACTTTTGGTTGGTGACAATTATACTCGTTGTATTTCTAATATATATATATATGTACTCTTGTTGAATGTTTATTTTATATAATGAAGCTGAAATTGGCTCATGAAAGACTAAAAATATCAACAATATGCCAAGCTACACAAGTACTAATATTGGAAGAGTATTAGTTATTGTCAACCAAAACAGTTTTGTCGAGAAAAGCAACCTACAAAGTCAGGTTGACCGGATATAGAAATAAGCAGATAATATTTGTATTCGAAGTAAGCCCTTGTCGATAATAGCTTCCGGCATCTCACACGGTCCATTGTGTGTGCATTGTTCGAGTGTGTGAAGGCAAGGCCCGTCCGGTGTACGCGTAAGTACTTCTCGGAATGCTAGCCAGCAAGCCAGCTGACGTTTCATAGCTCCCTGCTCGTCCCACTTAGTTTAGATTACAATGTCAACAGCTATTTTAGCCGTTGTATGGCCACCGAGCATCGCCTTTTCCCAAACGTCGCAAATCGTGTCATCACCCGTGAACATTGTCTCATATTGATGAATCACTTCTTCGATATTGTTTCTTGTTATTCTGCAATTTGATATTGTCGTTACGTCACACAACACAAGACCCATGTTACATTTCGGATAAGTAAAAGAAAAGCTATAAGATAAGGTCAGTCACCATACTAGTAGGCATTTACGTTCTTCCAATAGTTAATTTCTTTCCTAATGTCACAAAATATTGGGTGATATCCTTGTTTGATATGGAATTGACATAAATGGTTTTTTTCTTCAACTCGACGAGATTTTATTATAACTCAAACAACAAAGAACGGACTGCCGCGATCCGACAAAGGAATATGAGAAATATCTACGCCTCTACAATCCGGATCAGGTCGGTACCCGGTTTATATTGAAAATATTTCTATCCCCTTGGATATCCGAATGCTTAAATAAAAGGAAGTGGGTACTTTGTAGGGTAAGTAAGTATATTCAGTGCTCGGAGTCAGTTTTTTTTAATAAAGCGGCTTATATTACCTTAATTTTTTAAATAGCATGTTTCATGTTGAGAGTTATTTGTATTCGTATCTTATCATCGTCATGAGTCAGTGTGAATCCTATTCATAACGTAATACAAGGTTGGTCTGTTTGAATTCCTCCCTTTTACTGAACGTCTCTTTGTCATTTTTATAATACAAAAGGAGAAGGGCATTGGTTACAAAAGCATCTTTTGACTCACAGAAACAATCAGGAAATCATTTTTTTTTATTATAATTGCTGATTCATATTAATGAAATTTAATATCAGAAAATGGAAATCCGTTTTATTATGCATTGTAATTTATATGTTTCGAGAGTAACCTGAACCATAAAATGATTTGTAATTATGCGTTTGTTTAAATAACGTTAAACACAAATAAACTTTACGAGTCTGACGTTAAAACCCAACTTTTTATTATCCATCACATCACACACGTTTTCTTGAACGTACGCACACACACATCGGTAGAAATAAATTGTTTTATCGCCTCGTGTGTGCCGCCCAGTCGGAGCGCGGACACAACCCTCATTATTTTAAATTATATTCAATAATTTGTCAATTAAGTATCACTGTGTAGATCAGCCGACGATTATTATCCATCACCCAAATATTGATAACAACACGAACAAAACTTTAATAGGATAACAATAACAGAGATATAACTTTGTTATCCCTTCATGCATAAATATTTATGTAATATTTTTTCTGACTTGGAAACAACACGTTCCCATTTCAGTCCCATTTTAGTCCGCTTTATCGTGTCCTCGGGACTGCCACGTTGCCGGATTGTGCCTCTCTTTCTAATTTTGGAATTAATACTTTACTCAAGGCTCAACGCTTGTACCGTGAGAAGGGAACTCTCATATAATGACGATAGGTAAATCATTGAAAACTTTATTTGGTCTTAATTGTTACGCCTTTGTTTAGTTACTTTAAGATTTCTGATCCAGTACGTGAGTGATCTCAAATAATAATAATGATAAACTTAAACATCTTAAACATGCACCATTAAGACTCGCTATGAAGGACGCTCAGATTCGTTCGAATGTGTGATAAACACGGAGTATTTGCGTATAATTTTACACTTTACTCTTCCACTTAGTGATGCGTGAAATGATATCTAGCTGTCTGGCATAGAAAAAACATTACGATCAGAAATTCAACTCACGGCTCCGCGCTTGTCGTGTCGTATGATCGGTCGGTCGGTCGGTCGGTCGGTCGTCGCTCGATGGAGAATCGGAGAGTACGCTACGCTACGAACGAAGCGAGCGAGTCAGTATTCGTGTGGCGTGCACTTATAACGCGCGTTTATTTGTACTCTTGCGTCGGCTAAGCCGTTGACTGTGTAACGTGCATCTGTGTATAAGCTGTGCGACTATAAAATTCATGTTTCGTTGTGCAGTGTATGCTGATTGCTTCCTTTGTCTCTCCGTAGGTGTCGAGCGGAGCGTTGTGTTGAGGATTGCCATCGGGATGCCAGTGTGTCTAGTGATGGTGCATTGAGGTCGTGCTAGTACCTACTGAGTAGTGTTTGTGTCAACTATAGTGCTATACAGTGCTGAATGGATTGTGTCCCACTTGGATTGCCAACAATCTACAATAGATCTAGTTGGGAACGGTAAGACTCCATATCCTTCTTATTTTTACTAGTATTTCGTTCTGTAGATTCTTATAAAATAATTTAATTGGATTATATGTTCAATCTATATCTGTCTAACCTTCGTGTAATCTGAAGTATGTAGAACATGATGTAACTAACTAGAGCGAACATCATTAACGATAATGACAAAAACGGCGAGATTATGGCTCTGTCTGTATATTTCATTTAGATTGTCATCTCATACTGCATTTATTATGCCTACCTACTCAATGGAATTTTTTCCATTCATCACATCTATCGTTGTTTTAATAAGTATAGGTACTTACCTTTATTTGTATGAAATATGAATACCATGATAACAACAGCTCGTATATTATCATAAGCGGTACTACTGTACTGGTACTTCTACCACGTTTGGTTCTCAGTCATTTCCGTGTCATTTTACCGCTCACGAAGTAAAGTAGGTTCCATGCTTCCTTCTCCACATAATGATATTTAAATACGCTTGGCTGGTTTTAGTGCTGTGCTGTGTAATAAATAGCACTGATTAGAAATAGGTAGGCAGTCATAGTCGATTTATCACAACGATAAATTGAAGCTAATAAAATTGCTTATTTTGCTTTAAATATACCTACCATATATGAATAAATTTAATTTAAATGCTTGTAATTATAAGGAATTAGTAGCCAAGTGAAAAAGTCTTTGATGAATGTGCTTGTAGACTGTCAACTGTAGTATGTAGTCTGGTTGTTTTTATACAATTATAAAATTACTTAGTCGTAATATTTACTGTATAAGTTGCTTCCTGAATTCTATGCCCACTTTACTTTTAGAAAAATAGTTAAATCATATACGAACTTTCTATTAGAAAAAGTTCACTAAATAGGACAATGGCGACTTGATTTCGAAATACACCTTCATAACGATGAGAAATGTGTGTATTAAAAATGGATTATTACCGGTGTAATAAAAGAACCATTCACTGATAAGAAACCGGTTACACCACAAATAATAAGTTAATTCTGGTCCGCGTGTTATTTAGTATGAGATTAGGTAAATATGTGGCATAAGTACAAACTTAAATAAATCTATTACGAAACGAATCTTTAATTCATTCCACATAGAGTTCTATATTTAAACTATTTTATTATAGCATGCACGTAGCGGTCTGGCTGCCACTCGCTCTCATCTCGCATCGTTGAGCTTATTTTAAAATTAACACTATTTTCGTCTATTGATAATGTCACTTAGGGTTTCCGCCACGGATAAAAAAATATGACTTTTATCCTTATTTTATTCATAAAATAATTCAAATTACTTCCTCTAATCCTCAAAGTTCACCAAAAATATTGTCCTGTCGGCATGTTTTATTTACTTTACAAGTGGGGAAATAATTGGATTTCATGGCCTAATTATTTGGTTTAAATTAGAATTAAGATAATCACTAATAAGTATTTATAATATATCTAATAATATATGTACATATTACATATAATAATCCAAATCATACCTACGGGCGATCGCAATTAAATCTATATTCGTAAGGAAATATGATTAAGGATGTCAATATCTGTGTAATTTTACTTACGAGAACTAGACCATAAATTAGCCAGCAAAAAAAGAATTTGTATTCAAATATAAGTCGACAACATATTTACAATAATGTTAATTTGACACAGACTATAAAAATTCGAGTAATACCAGTCCTAACCAATGTTTATTATTATTATAAAAAAAGAACTACCACTGTATTTCTGTGAGACGTTACTTTGAATGAGACAGCGATTAGAAAAAGAGAGAGGGGTTGGGATACCTCTATTGTATAGATAGACTCGACCCCTGCACAAAATGTTAAGTACACTGGCAACTTTTATTTTGTAGATGGCAAACGAATAAATATCATGCTATACAACCTACCTAGACTGATGATAGTTTTGACTTTTTTTATTTCTCTTTGTTTCCCTCTGAGATTTCCCTACACAAACAAGAGGCAGGTAATACTTTACCGTAGTATAGAAAGACCACGGTAAAACTAACACGACCTTTTGGTGTTGTGTTTGAGTACCTTAATCGACTCAACAGAAACACTGGGGTTTCATGGGATTGCTTTCTAGTCAGCAAGATGAGGATGGCTGGAGCAGTTTTTTTTTTAATTTGAATCAGTTACAATCATCACTTAACTACACTGGTCTTACACTTATCATCAGGTGGTGTAGACAATTTATTGCATCTGTGTATAAAACACTCACTATTGAATGACAAATGGCATTTGAGTGACATGAACAAAACACGGCGTTACTAGTCTAAGCTGATTTCTTGTTTATTAATAAGAGGGTCCGAGTGTAGTCACATAACGAAACTAAACTAATGTAAAAGATAATAAAATTCTTGTGTCTGCTTAACTTTTCTTCTGATAATTGCTTTCGGAGGCTCGAGTAATATTATAAGTGCTTTATTTTCCCATTATAACTGCTTCGAGAACCGTACCCTTAGCACGAACCAATATCGAATTCGTATCGAATGCGAGTACGTAATGTCACTGTCAAATATGTTTGATTTTTAGTTCTAGTTACGTACTTTGTGGCGCTGCTGTTCAAGTTTCCATACAAAATTTAACATTGACATTTCGGACTCGCAAACGATTCGAATTCGATATTAGTTCGTGCTAGGGTACCGTATATTTTATTTTAAAGTGTAGTACATATCAGCCAGCACATTACACCAACTAGAATTATTATGCCAGTACATTTGCGGATGCAATTAATATTTACGACGTGTTTTTGAATTTCTTGTGAAAATATCTCCACTATCGTGATTTCGCCTGTACTTAGTTAACCAAATTTATAGTTTGACGAGCTCCCGGTAAATTGTCCGTATAATAGTTAGTGGATGTGCATTAATGTATTATTGGTAAGTAGTTCATTATTAGCTCTTGTGTGATTAATAAATTAACACTAGCTGTCTCAGCGAACTTCGTACCGCCATAAAAAAATAGGGGTTGGTGGTTTCTACCACCCTCCTGGGTGAAAAATTAGGGGTTGTATATATTGTGTCCATAATTGAAGTTTATAATTCACAAGAAAACAGTTTATCTTTATCAAATAACAAAATAATAGTAATTTGTTATTATGAGAATTAATACGGTTGTTTATATAACTTTTAGTCTTATAATAGCTAGTTTATTGTATGAAAATTAACGATCATTCTTGTGGAACGGGGCTTACGGTATTAATAGTTTTTCAGAGGCAACCTAATACTTGTTATAATACTAACAAATTTAATTTTACACTCCATGGATTACTGTGCCATTGAACTCGGATCGATTTGTGGGAGACCCGTTCTGGGTACGCTTAGTTTAGACACCGCGTTGTCACTGGTTTTTTTTTACTAAGAACATTAAAAGAAGCCCCACACAAAAACGTCTGAGAAGCCGATACTAATATTTGGTGACAAAATATTACTCATGTCGTTAATGTCTTTAGAGAGACACTTTAATCTCTGTGCTCAAATGTCACCAGTGGTGATTTGCATAAAAGTTATTATCTGTTTAAGTACACTCGGCGTCAAAAAAATCGTACCTCCGCGAAAATAACTTTCAAGCGTTATTATGACCCACACACGCATTTACCCCACCAATATTGGTGTCATTTGAAAGCCCATTAAATAAACTTATAAACAATTCAACTATTTTTTATTGGAACAGTGCAAAAAACACTAAAGTTTACCAAAACTAAAACTCCTTAATTAAGCCATGATTAAAAACAAATTTATTACACAAAAAAATACAAATAGTTCTATAAACTAACCTAAATCCTAGTGTTACCCCCCTTGCCAGGATAAAAGCTTCCATACGCTCCCTCATGGATCTCACCAATTTTAGGAGCTCTTCTTGAGAGGGACTGGCCCATTCCTCAATAGCGGCCTCTTCGAGCTCCTGGAGAGTCGTGGGAACGGAATCATGAGACTGAACCATGCGTTTCAAATGGTCCCAGAGGTGCTCTATCGGGTTCAGGTCTGGACTTCTCGCTGGCCACTGCATGACAGCGATCCCAACCTCTTGAAGGTAGTCGCGCACAATTAATGCAGTGGGAGCGCGAGAGTTATCGTGCATTAATGTGAACCCCTCGCCAACAAAATCGGCATTGGGGACCACATGCTCTTCCAGGATCTCAGTGACGTACCGGTGAGCAGTCTGTGACCCTTGCCCGCGAGCACCTCCAGTCCGGGACACGCTTACAGGCCATTTTCCCGTACCAAAACATACAGGAACCGCCCCCTATTCCACCGTCTCCTGGATGCAGGCTTGGGCAAAACGTTCCCCTTGTCTTCTGTACACTCTTCTGCGTCGATCGTTCTAGAAAAGCCTTTTCTAGGACATTCTCGTCTAGTCTGAGAAGAGAACGGCTTTCCATCAAGTTAAGGGTCCAATTATCGTGGTTGCATACAAATTGCAAGTGGGCTCACCGATGCTCTGCGGTCAATTTTGGAGCCGTAGCAACTCTATGAGCCAGTCTTCGTCTAACCATAGAAACGCTCACGAGCTGCTGTTGCATCTCAACAGCATAAGAGAACGGATTTCTTAGAGATGTCAAAACGATGAATCGGTCGCCATGCCTCCCGACATGGCCACAGATCTCCAGGAACCGCTGGTATACACTTCGAACCGAAAAACGGCTCAAGTTCAGTTGCCGACATCACACTGCCGCATCCCTGATTGCAGTAGTGCTGATTGCACTTGAGCGGCTTCATCAGCAGTGGTATCCATCTTCAAGGTTTTTTTTTTTATGAAAGATCTTCTCGTGTGTCCTCTTCAACGGTTGGATAGCGAATAATAACCCCCATTGAACCTTGAAGCCACATTTGTGGTCTCAATCTTCTTTTTTTAAAGAAATGAAATTGTTTTATTCTAAACTATTTAATGAGCTTTGAAATGACACCAATATTAATAACGCTTGAAAGTTATTTTCACAGAGGTGCAATTTTTTTGACGCCGAGTGTATATGCAATGATTTTTTCGT